CCACCCGGGTCTCTTTCTGAGCAAGTCTGACGTTTCTCCCCTACCCACACCTCACCGTAGCTGTCTGGCAGGATGAAGATAAACCTCCCCTGGCTGTCAGGATGTTAAGACTGCCCATCCCCAGCAACAGGCAGGTGACTGCAGGGTCACCACACGGCAGTCACCAGACTGCACACACACAGTCCCCAGGCTCCCGAGACATGAGAGCAGACAACTAGCAGCCATCACAAGGCTCAGCACAGCTTCCCGAATGTGAGTCGGGACTTCCGGGTACTGAGCAAGCAGAGTTCAAGGGCACTCACGGAGCTCAGACACACGATGTCATTGCTGCTGAGAACCTGTGGCCAGAGTGGCTCCCAGGACAGAGCTCAACAGGAGGAACAGGCCTCAGGGAATAGCCTCGGCTCCACAGAACCAGATCACCTCAGGTCAGGGCTCTGCCACTGTTAGGCTGGCAGACAGGTGGCAGGGCCTGCCAGGGTGGCATCTGCCAAAGGTGCGGCCAGCTGGCGGCAAAGGCCAGGTCCAAGGAGCAGACATCAAGGCCAGGCCCAGGCTAGGCAGCTTCGGGCTTCACCATGGGCACTAGCAGCACAGTCTGACCCCACAGGGACCCAGCCCCCCTGGCTGCCTGCAGTGGCCTCTGCGGCTTGCCAGCAGGACTTTTCTCCACAGCTGCCTGTCTCCTCAGCCTGCACGCGGAAGGCATTCCACAGGGGCCCCAGGGACCAGGCAGGACCTGGTAAAATGAGGGAGGCAGACTATGGCGGAGATCCAGAGGTGTGCAGTGGGGTCAGGAACCCAGAGCGGGCATCCCGCGGAGAAGGCAGCTGCAGAGCCCCTGGGGCCAAACGCTGCCATGTGCACTGCTGCCAGATACCCAATTTAAAAGAAACCGAAAGTCTAGATTTTTATTCTGTCAAAAACTACTAGAGCACAGTATGGGGCAGCAAAATCCTCGCTACATTTGTGCACCCAGTGAACCTCCATCTTCTGGCAGCCACTAAGCACTAGGTGTGGTGCCAGGTGCGTCAGGACTGGGAAACCCACCTGTCCACTCTGCCTGCCAACGTTCTCTCCAGGCTGCCCGCTCTTCTCCCTCTGCCTGTCACTGCATAGCCACGCCAGCAAAACCCACCCAGCCAACTCCCACTGTCCCTTACGGGGTGCTGGTCAGGCCCCCCTGCCTCTTCTCCACTCAGCAGCCAAGAGCCATCCTCCTAATGGGCAAACCAGGCCACACTGCCCCCCTGCCCCTCAGCTGGGCCCCCAAGGCCAGGAGGGGTCCGGCCTGGCCATCCCCCATCTTTATTTGCACCAGTCCCTCCCTACCGCACTGCCGCCAGTCTCCTGAGAGGACTTGCTAGAAGGTATATCAACGCCTCCCTCTCGCTCCCTCCCCTGGCACCACCAGCACATGCATGGGCCAGGCCATAGGACTCGTGCCAGTGGGGCACAGAGACCTCTCGGGATGTTTGGGATTCTTCTTGCCTGAAGGATAGATTGGCTCAGAGCTGGAAGCCTGCACCCAGCCTGCCCTGAGAGACTAATGCCCGACCTGCTGCCTCCCAACTCACCAGACTTGGCTGGGACGTCTGCCTCCCTCCCAGGACCCCTGGGAAAGCCTCCCAGATGCCATGTGGATGCATGTGCCTGGAGGGCCCCCAAGCAGGGACCTTGGCAAACGCCCATGTGCCCCTGGGCCAGCCTGTGCCTGGCCCCAAATGCACGGGAGTGATTTCAGCTTCACCCCCACCTGTGGCCCTAGGGCCCCTTTGTCTCAGGATCTAGCTTGATGCCTCGAAAGTATTCAAATCTGGACTTTCCTGCACCACCCCACCCAATAAAAAGAACCTTCTTCAAACATCTGGGGCATCCCATGGGGCTGTAGCTGCTTCCAGCCCTCTGCCACCAAGGCAAGGCAGGACTTTGGAGCTAGGCCTGCCCAGTTTAAATCACAGCCCTACCACTCCCTAGCTGAGAGAACTGGGTCCATCGCTTCAGCTCTCCTGAGCCCAGTGTCCTCATCAGCTCATGGAGTGCTTCCAGGGCTCAACTGATCACACGTCCGAGGTGCTCGGCAGGTCCCTAGCATCCAGGAAGTGCACATCAAGGTAGTTTAAACCCTAATGATAAAAAGGTTATCTTCCAAATTACATTACCAGCTGGGTGACGTCTGGCATATGGCTTCACCTCTCTGGCTTCGGCGCCCCCCAACCCCCCCGGCCCCATGGCCAAGAGGATTAATGGATATACCACTTGCAAAACCCTGGCACAGAGCCTGGGCCCTCGGAACACGGTAGCTGTGAGGATTATGGTTTGTAAGGAGGCCTCAGAAAGATGAGGCTGGGGAACAGTGCAACATACCACCTATTCTACCTGCTCAAATTGGGTCAGGCTGGAGCTGTGTACCCGGCTGTTGCCATGGCACCCAACACAAGGAAACACTCCAGCTAGGAAGGCGGGCGCTGCAGGGGTGGGGCCTCAGGCCTGCTTTACTCAGACAACACCCATGCAGCCACCAGCAGTCTCTGGGCCATCCCAGGGATCCCTGGGGTTGGGAAGAGTATGCTACTGGATCTGGGCCAAGGTCTAAGCAGGTGTCATCACCCCTGACCCTACCCCAACTCCAAAACAACAGGGCCTTGGCCATCTGGAGGGGTGGGCTGTGAGGCGAGGCTCCCAGGCTGCAGAACAGGATGGGCGGGATGGGCGTGGAGGAGGTAGGAGCCCAGGAACCCCTATCTCCTGGGCAAAAGCCAAAGCAGCTCTAAAGCAGCCTCAGGTCCCAATGTCCCTGTGTGCTCCCTCCAACCACACCTGCCCAGCAGCTGACAGGTACCCGGAGCCCAGTAAGTGCCCAGCCTTGGGGGCTCAATGTCAGCTCCTCCCTCCACAACCCTGTCAGGTTTCAACCAGGATGAGGGCTGGGAAAGGCTGTTTGGGCTCAGCTGGGTTCAGGGAATCTATGGCCCCTTGCCAGGAAGGAAGAAGGGGAGGCAAAGGTGAAATCCACTGTGGGCTGAAACCTGGAACTTTCCAGACTTTCCCAGATGAGGGGGCAGGTTTAAGGCAATGGAAAGGCTGACAGGTAGGGTGACAGTGGCCCCCGTGCCTGGGAGGAGGCCTCAGTCTGGGGCTAGATACAGATTCCTCAGTGGGATCTAAGACCCTGTTCCACCCGTAGCTCACGTGCAGGCCCTCTGCTGACTGGCTGGTCCCTCCAAGAAGTGGGAGGCCTGGGGCCTGGACCCCTCTGCCATAGTAACCACAACTGCTGCAACAATTTGCCTGAGCCAGATGTGGCACAGCCGTTATCCATTCTCCTCACAACTCTAGGGGCAGGTGTGACTTCTCCCATTTCACAGACAAGGAAACGAAGGCTCAAAGGTGGAACAGGATAGTGGTTAAAAGCACACCCTGAAGGAATCTGGGCTCTGCTGTATCAGCTCATGCAAATCACTCCCTCCCTGAGCCTCAGTTTTCACCTCTGTAAAATGGGGATAATAATCCTACAGTTCCCCCCACCCCACCTCCACCCCACTCCGTGGCATAGTCCAGGAATTAAGGAAGAAGTGCTAGTAAAATGGAAATCACCACACCAACAGTCGCTGGTTCTTGGAATCCAGGAGGTTAGGTAACTTGCCCAAGGTCACCCAGTCAGTGAGTGGCTGACCCCAGACCCTAGCTCTGAGCACAACCTTTCCCCAAAACCTTGGGCAGCTCTGTGGGTGGCCACGGGATCGGGATCACAGCCTTCCCAGGCAGCGGAGGACTGCCACCAGCCCCCACAGCAAAGGGCAGCCTTTCTCTGAATTCCTCAGATAAGCAGTTCCCGGCAGACTGGGGAGCCTCCAGGCCTGAGTGGGCCCAAGTGCAGAGAAAAGGCACCCCACCCTGTCTGCACCAGAGATTCCTAAATCTGGGTTAGGCTGTATGCCCACCCACCCCCCATCCCCTTGCCCGCATCCTCCCAGACCACCAGATTCATCCAACAGGTCTCCAAATAGGCCAAGTTCTGTTGACAACTGCCTCCTGTGAGGTCCCTGGAAAGCCACTTACTTCCTCTTTCTGGGCCTCAGTTTCTCCAACTCAGAACTGTGAGGCAGTTCCAGCTAACTGGGCCCACAAGGAGTCCTGAGGAGCAAAGGGACAGACCAGGGAAGGGAACCAGCATGTCCACTGGGCCAGGCCCTGTACTGCATTCTATCTACTGAAACTTCTCCACAACTCTGACAGAGACCTGTATTGGGCCCAGAAAGTGATAGAACTAGGACTTGAACCCCCATCTGTCCGACTCCAAGACACTCTCCCCCCAGCAAGCCCCAACCATGTGACCCCAGGTGGGCACAGTCAGTGGGTGCAGCTCAGGAACTCAGTCACCCTCGGCAATGAGCTGGACAGCTGGACCTGCAGGATGGGGAAGAATCCATTAGCCAAACTGGACTGAGCCTCTTTCAGAGAGGGTGGCAGCCTCCTTGACAAGGACATTTACAATGCAAAGCAGCCCAGCCACAGCCAGAAGAGGACGGACACTAAGAGAGGGCTGGGCAGGCCAAAATCCAGCCACCTCCCTCCAGCCAGGCCGGGAGTGCCTGGGAACCTGTGGCTGGCCCAGGCTCTAAATCATATGACAGCCCAAGCAGCCAGCTGGGTGCAAGGTGGCCAGGAATACCCCTCTCCGTCTCAGCCCCTCCAGGCACAAACGCTGGTGGGCTCTTTGTGCAAGTCTGAGGAATGGGCCTGTGTGCAGGGCCCCACGAGGGGGTGAAAGAACAAACCCCCACCTATCCAGCTGGTCACCTGCAGCCCTGCACCCTGCCAGTTTCCTCAGGCCCAGATCTCCCAGATCACTCAGCCCTGCCTTGTGCAAACCTGCCCCAGACACACATAATCCCCAGGACTATCTGGGCCCACAGGGGCGCTTCCACGTGCCAAGTGGCTAGATCTAGCTCATCATCGCCCCCCTCCCCTGCAGGCGCGGCTGCCCCAGCTCCTACCTTGACGACAGGCTGACAAAATCCCCGCCATCCAGCAGACGGACCTTGCAGAAGAGGACTCCGTTCACGAAGGGGACAGCAGTCAGCTCCTCCAGGGTGAAAGTGGTTTGGAATTTGAATTTCTTCTTCTTCATCAAGAAAGCCATGGGCGAGTTCCCTGAGTCTGAAGCCCCAAAGGCCAAAAAAGGGGGGGAAGCCAGAAATCCCCAGGATTCCTTTCCCTATACCACACCCCCTCCTCAAAACATCAGAGCCGGATCCCGCCCAGATGGTGGCGAAGGCGGCCGAGCAGGCGGGGATCTAAGTCCGGAGGGCCCAGGTCCGAGCGACCAGTCCAGTTCGCGGGCCGGCTGGCTTCACCGTCGGGGAGCCTGGGCTCGGAGCGGCTCGGAGTGGCCGGCGGCTTCACCGGCATGTAAACAGCGGGGCATGGCCCAGGAGGCAGGGGCAGGGGTGGCGGGCGGCGCGCGAGCGGCCGCGCTGGCGGGCAGCATCCCGCACCGCGGTCTCCGGGGAGCTCTCGCCGCGCTACCGGGCGCGGCTGGCGGACCGGTGAGGCCGAGGGCGGCGGGCGACCCCGCCCCCGCCCCGCTGGCGGCTGGGGGAGGTGCCCTAGCCGCGCACACGCCCCCGCACCTGGGCGCCCGGCGGCCCGCGCAGGTGAGTCCGGGACGGCTGAGGGCACCCCCAGGGGGCGACCGGGAGCTCTGGGGGGCCTCTCCGGGAGGCGCGGCGGGGACAGTCCGGGCCGGGAACGGCCGGCCACGGCCCCCTCCGGGCGGACACCGGGCCCGGGCAGCCGGGGCGCCGCCTTCTCTTCAGTCCTGGGTCCCGCGCCGCGGGCCCCGGCGGAGCTGAGGCGCCTTTCCGGCCGGCCGGTGGCACCCGCCTCGCTCGCCGCCTCTGCCCAGCACCCCGCGAGCAGCAGCGCCGCCCCCTGCGCGCCGGACACGGCCGCCCGAGCCCGACGCTATGCGGCGCCGCTGGGAGAATGCTGAGGCCCAGCGCAGCCGCCCGCGGAGCAGCCGCCAAGCGCGGGAGGGGCGGGGCGCCGGCGGCCCAGCCTGCCCGCAATTGGGCGGCCTGGCGGGGCAGGCGCGGAGCGCGATTGGCGGACGGCGGCGTGGGGCGGGACTCGCGGGAGGCAGAGGGGGCTCAGGACGCGTGGATTGGTGTGCCGCGCGGCTGGACCCGCCTCCTTGGTCGGGGCGGAGCGGAGGGAAAGGGAGAGGGGCCCCGAAAAGGCAGTGGGAGGTCGCGGGGCGGGAAGCCGGGGCTAGTCCGGCAAGGAGGAGGGCGCGAGCAGAAGAAAAGAAGAAACAATGAAGAGAGGAAACAATATGAACGCTGGCTATAACGGCCCTCCAGTGTAGCCCCAGACTTGAGCTCGTTAGCCACTAAATCAGGCCCAGAGGCAGTGAGTCCCATTTTTCCAAAAACACCCAGAGAGGTGGCCAGAACTAGACCAAGCAGGTCTTCCGCCTGGGAATCTCTAGTTCTGAGCACTGAGAAGGAAGTGTCTGCAAAGGCTTCGCCGAGGGGGTGACTTGGAGCAGTTCACGCAACCTGTGCTAGACCCAGCTTCTCCCCCAAGCTGCTTTCCAAGCCTTTTGTTGTCGGTTAGCTTCTTAGCTAGTTATTGCTGGTCTCTCTGACTACATTAACTGCCCTGGGTACAGAGACCGCTTCCAGAGCTTCGGATCTCCCAGACCCTGGACACACTGTAGTTCATTCATTCAGTCCCCAAATGTTAAGGGGCAATCTGCTTGAAACCAGGCTTGGACCCAGCAGTGAGCCCTCCCCTCTCCAGCCTCCATCTAAGCCCAAGATCAGGTGGAGGAAGGAGCAGCCAGGGACACAGGCAGCCACAAATCTGGTAGATGAGAACTGTGACAGCGACTGGAGAGGCTCGCTAGAGGCAGGATGCATCCTGCCCTGAGTTAGGCAGGGGCCATGCAGAGGGAGCCTCTAGAGGCCTGGAGGACAGAGAATGTGGTACCCACAGAAGCCGTGAGTACGTCCATCTGGCTGCATTGAGATTCGAGAGAGGCAGGGGGCAAGAGCTGGAAGGCCAGTAGTGGTTGGATCTTACAGAGTCTTGTAGAGCAGAATAAGGAGGGGAGCCGCTCACACATTTTGAACAGGAGGATGATCTAGACTTGTTTTTTGCTGTAAGAAGCTGGCTCTGGCAGCCTGTAGTGTGGAGGAGAGAATATGGGAAACAGGGCTGAGGGGCCTTGTGGATCCAGGCAAGAAATGATGAAGGCGGAACCTCTGAGCTGAGAGAAAATGAGGATGGATTTGAGAGACAGAAATGGATTGGACCTGGGGCTGAGTTAGGGCCAGACATGTAACTGAGAGCTCAGATTTCTGATTTCTTTCTGCCTCCCAGCCATAAAATGGGGGTGATGACCTCTACTTCCCTCCAGTTGGTCCCATAATTTAGAAAACACAAGCCAGATAGAAAAATAGTAAAAGCACTTCCCACTGCTATTATGTACCCCCATGTACACCTAGGATAGCTGAGGCCTGGAGAGTTTAGATCATTGGAATGGGTCTTAAACTTGGAGCACAGGCACTAGAGGGCTAAGCTATGCTACCTACTCTGTGGGGTGTGTTCTCCTCACTCATCCTAGCTGGGCCTGCTCCACAGAGGAAGAGCCCATGCCCACCTGACCCCAGGAGGGGATTTCAGAGGAGAGGACCAGCCAAGGAGGTCTCAAGGCCTGGCTGGCTCCTCAGCTATGACCACGAGTAACCCCAGACTGCTCTAACAGGAAGCAGGGTGGGCCTGGCCACCAGACTTAGCTCGGTCGGGTATTTATCTCTCTGTAGCCTCAGGGCTGGGAGCCCAGGAAGTTTCCCTTTCCTCATTTCCCAGATGGTGCCTGGAGAAGGGAGAGAGCCTGGTGCCAGTTCAGGATGCTCCATTTGGGGTGAGACAGACCCGTGTCAGAATCCTGGCTCTGCTGCACATTGGCACTTTGGCCTTGGTTTGGGACACTGAGGCTTGGGGACTCCACATAGAGAGGGGGGTCAGTGTGATATGGCTAAGACCACTTGCTCTGAAGCCATCAGAGCAGGATTCAAAATCCAGCTGACTTAACACTGACCACTTGTGTCACACAAGCTTTGGGTGTACCTTTGCATGCATAGAAAGGAATCTTGAAGGATACACCCCAAACTTTTTTTTTTTTTTAAATCTCTGAGTCATAGTTTTTCACCTGTAAAAGGGGAATAAAAATACCAACCTGGGGCGCTGGCTGGCTCAGTCAGTAGAGCATGAGATTCTTGATCTCAGAACCATGAGTTCAAGCCCCACACTGGGCATAGAGCTTACTTAAAAATTAAAAAAGAAAGAAAGAAAGAAAGAGAGAGAGAGAGAAAGGAAGAAAGAAAGAAAGAAAAAGAAAAGAAAGAAAGAAAGAAAAAGAAAGAAAGAAAGAAAAAGAGAAGAAAGAAAAAAGAGAAAGAAAAAGAAGAGAAAGAAAGAAAGAAAGAGAGAGAGAGAGAGAAAGAAAGAAAGAAGAAAGGAAGAAAGAAAGAAAAGAAAGAAAGAAAGAAAGAAAGAAAAGAAAGAAAGAAGGAAAAGAAAGAAAGAAAATACCAACCTTTTCAGAATGTTGTGAAGACTTCAAGAGGCCACACCTGCAAATGGCTTAGGCCAGAGATCTGAGCAAGTGGTTAGAATGGAGCTCCAGGCCAGCATGTCCACATTTCTCCAGCACCCCCAAATTCCCAAGCATAGCCTGTCCTACCTACTTGAGGCCCTGAGCAGACATAAAGAAAGCAGTGCCTAACAAGATAATTCAGACAAGTGGTCTGGAGAGGGAAATCCAGGGAAACGTGAGAGAGGATGATTGGATTGGGGTTCCAGGGCTGTGTGAGGGATTATCTCAGGCCAGACCTACATAATAAGGAGGACCCTTGGGACCGCTGGGTGGCTGAGTTGGTTAAGCGTCTGCCTTCTACTCAGGTGGTGATCTTAGGGTCCTGGGATCGAGTCCCCGCATCGGGCTCCTTGCTCAGCGAGGGGTCTACTTCTTCCTCTGCCTGCCACTCCCCCTGCTTGTGTACTCGCGCGTGCTCTCTCTCTGACAAATAAATTTTTTAAAAAATCTTTAAAACAAAACAATAATAAGGAGGACCCAAGCATAGGAAGCTCTGGGGGCAGAGGCAGGGACTGGCGTGTTTGGGGAACTGTGTGTGACTGGAGGGGAGTGGGTAGAAGGAGCTGAGAGAAGCATGGGGTCAGGCAGGAGCCTGCTGACATGGGCTCTGTGAGCCTGGGAGGAGGTTGGTTGTGTTGTTTTGTTTTGTTTTAAAGATTTTATTTATTTATTTATTTGACAGAGAGAAAGACACAGCGAGAGAGGGAACACAAGCAGGGGGAGTGGGAGAGGAAGAAGCAGGCTTCCCGCTGAGCAGGGAACCCGATGCGGGGCTCGATCCCAGGACCCTGGGATCATGACCTGAGCCGAAGGCAGACGCTTAATGACTGAGCCACCCCAAGGAGTTTAGATCCCCCCAAAGGGACACCCCCAGAGGATGTAAGCAGGTTAGTGACAAGATCCAAAATTCCTCTTTCAAAGTCCTTTCTGGCGATGTGGAGAATGGATTGGTTACCAGTGGGCAAGAACAAGGCCAGGCAGACAGGTGAGGAGGCTAATACAGCCGCACCAGCAGGAGACTGGTAGCTCAGACTAGCGTGGAGCCAGAGCACTGGGAAGGGGAGGGGACACATGGCAGAGGAAGAGCTCAGCACTTCCTGAGCAACAGTAGTAGTTTCTCAAGTAGAGCTTTTTGAATATCCCCAGGGTTCTGCATTTGACTGAATGCCACCTGGTTCCTGAAGTCGGGGTGTTGAGTGAACACAGGCACTGGAATAGGTGTGGGGAAGGAGTAGATGGAACAGAGGAATTTAGTGGGACTGCGGCCTTGAGAATAGAATCACAGCTGCAGAAAACGGGAGGCCTGAGACAATCCTCACCCTTGTCTGGCCTTGGACAAACTCTCGTGATACTGTTTACCTCTCTCTCTCCCCCATTAGAGCACGAGCTTCACAGGGTTAGACACCTCATCCATGGTGTCTGGATGTCCATTTCAGGGCCTGCCACACAATAGACACTCCATAAATGACTGCCCA